TCCTTATATAGTCTAGATATAAGCCCTTTATCAGGCATGTATTTTGCAAATATTTTCTCCCAGTCTGTGTATTTGAATTTTTTAAAAGATAATTTATTCATTTATTTGAGAGAGAGTAAGCATAAATGGGGGGGCAGAGGGAGAGAAAGAAGCAGACTCCTTGCTGAGCAGGGAGCCCAATGTGGGGCTCCATCCCGAGACCCTAAGATCATGTCCTGAGTTGAAGGCAGACATTTAACCAACTGAACCACTGAGGCTCCCCTGTATTTGGATTTTCTTAAGAGTATCTTTTGAAGAGCAGACATTTTTTTTATTTTTATGAAGTTATCAATTTGTTATTTTATGGACAGATAGTACTTTTGCTGTATCTTTAAGAAATCTTTGCCTAACCCAAGGTCACAAAGATTTTCTCCTGGAAGTTTTATAGTTTTAAAGTTTCTATTCAGAGCTCTGGGTTGTTTTGAAATAGTTTTTGGATATGATACTACACGAGTATTTGTCAAAGAGAGGATGGTTATACAAATGTGGTAATCTGGGGATCCCTGGGTGGTGCAGTGGTTTAGCGCCTGCCTTTGGCCCAGAACGCGATCCTGGAGACCCGGGATCGAATCCCACATCAGGCTCCCTGCATGGAGCCTGCTTCTTCCTCTGCCTGTGTCTCTGCCTCTCTCTCTCTCTCTCTCTCTCTCTCTCTCTCTGTGTGTGTGTGTGACTATCATAAATAAATAAAAATTTAAAAAATGTGGTAATCCATTCCATGGAATATTATGCAGCCATAAACAAGAATGGACTATTGCTACATGCAACAAATTGGCTGAACTTCAAGGGAATTATGCTGAATGGAAAAAAGCCAGTCTCCAAAGGTTACCTATTATACAGTTCTGTTTCAATGACATTCTCAAAAGGACAAAATTAAAGAGATAGAGAACAGATTAGTGTTTACAGGGGTTGGGGATGGGAGGGATGAGGGGATGGGTGTGGTTATAAGGGCGCAATGTGAAGGAGCCTTGTGGTGAAGGTAGAGCCAAAATTATTTTGATTGGTGGTGATCGTGCAAATATACACACTTGATAACATTGGCACACACATGCAACACACACACATACACAAATGAGTGCTGGTAGAACTGGGGAAAGTGGAATAAGCACTGGATTATAGCAGTGCCAATTTCCTGGTATCAATACTGTACTACAACTATGCAAGATGCAACATTGCATAACTGCAATGGAAGAGGATGGGAGAAATGTGCATGGAACATCCCTATATATTCCTGTGCAACATCATGTAAATCTATAATTTTTTTCAAAATTAAAAGTTTGGAAATATTCAGTTGCAGGTATTTTGACACATTCTCCTAAAATGCCACGATATCATGATCCTATCTATGAAAATTATTATAATCCCAAAATAGCTAATATCTGCTACACAGTTAAATTTCCACAATGACCCACAAGATGATTTTTATGTATAGTTTTACTATTTATCTTATTTTATTTTATGATAGTCACACACACACACAGAGAGAGAGAGAGGCAGAGACATAGGCGGAGGGAGAAGCAGGCTCCATGCACTGGGAGCCCGACGTGGGATTCGATCCCACGTCTCCAGGATCGCGCCCTGGGCCAAAGGCAGGCGCTAAACCGCTGCGCCACCCAGGGATCCCCTACTATTTTTTTTTGTTTGGTTTGGTCTTTAAAGGAGTTCTAAACTCAGTTCATACCTCCTAGTTACTTGTTAGATCTCTTTAGACTCTTTTCATCTAAAAGTATCTACATTTTTTCTTTCTTGATATTCACTTTTCAAAGACTCCAAGTCCATTTTCTTTTTTCCAGCGTTCCACAGTCTGGGTTTGTCTGGCTGTTTTCCTAGGGTCCCTGTATTTCCTGAGAAGTGAGAGTAAAGGCTGGAAGCTTGACTTTCTTCAGGGGCAATGTTTTCAGCTTCATGGGCATAGAGTGCTTTCCCATTATACCCTCCAGAAGGGACCCATGTTGGGTCGTCCCATTAAGAGAGAAGCCAGGGTTGAGTGCCACATTAGGGGTGACAGCCAAATATCTCCAATGAAAATGTCCTTGTTCCCTTTGTGACTAGAGTATGTGGGGTGACACTTGGGCACCTTGCACATACTCTTAACCAAGCACCCTGTGGTTCCAGCACCCGTTTATGATCCTTGTCTTAATCATTACTATGATCACATTAAGGGTTGCAAAAGAATGATTTTCTCATCACAGGGGTCTTTATCCATATGAGACCCATTTCTCCATTCAGTGTGTTCTAAATCATCATCCCTTTGAGAAGTAGTTGGAATGAAAATTTGCCCACATTTTTTAAATACCGAAAACAAAATTAAGTCTACCGTTTTTGACACATCCCAACGTTCCTGATTGGAGACCAATCTAAATGGGCTTGAACTGATCAAAGACAGAAAAACTTCTAATAACTGCAGTGGATTTAAACCCCTCAAATGTGCTTATACCCACGGGTGTATCACACACTAACAAATCAAAGTTGGATGAAGCTGGCACACTGACTTGTTATTTTGATAGGTGGTAAATAAAAGGAACAAAGATGAAACATTTATCTTGCCTTTACTATATACATAGTTGCTCAGGGGACTAAATCACTGGTGAGGGGAAGTTTTCTTACCAACGTGAAGGAGGAATGCAGGAATGAGGACATCCCCAGCTTGCATCCAGTAATGAATGAACAGATTTGGACATTGTGTTTACATCAACAAAAACACAACTTAGAGGGCAGCCCGGGTGGCTCAGTGGTTTGGCACCACCTTCGGCCCAGGGCCTGATCCTGGGGACCTGGGATCGAGTCCCATGTTGGGCTCCCTGCATGGAGCCTGCTTCTCCCTCTGCCTGTGTCTCTGCCTCTCTCTCTCTCTGTCTCTCATGAATAAATAAATAAAATCTTAAAAAAAAAAAACAAACCTCACAACTTGGAATGAAACACAAGGACTCCCCGTGTCCTAGAGGGTCTCTGCATGTGAATTCCATGCCTGCTTGTTATGTGGGGCCACCTTCCCCAGCTCATCCTGCCAAACCATGCTGGCCTTCTGTATGCTCCAAGAGCCCCTTGCATTTTTCACTCTGATTGGTGCACTCGATTCCCCCAAGACCCCTGAGTTTTCATCAGATTTTAAGGGTCTCAGGATCTAACTCAGGTCAAACTATTGGGGCCTCCATCTTCAGGACAACTGGTGCCATATCCAAGCCTATTGGGTCCTGTATTTCTGTGTCAAATTTGGAATTGGTGTCAAGTGTTTCTGCACACAGACCACAATTTTTAGCACCCCATGCTCTTGTTCCTTTCTTTTCTTTTTTCTCTTTTTCTTTTTTAAATTTTTATTTATTTTTATTTAAATTCAATTTGCCAACATATAGTGTAACACCCAGAGCTCATCCCATCAGGTGCCCTCCTCAGTGCCCATCACCCCACACTCTTGTTCTGTATCTCAGCTGGGAGCGCTGAAGATGCTTGGTGGGTTGAGGGGGTGGGGGGCCCCATATCTCTTTGCGGTACCAGGCACCAGATCCCAAAGTCTGGGAACCCCACCCTCTCTGACATCTCTCTCCTCTGTTACTGATTCAGGAAGTTCCCCAAATGTTGCCTTCCCTGTATTGGCCTATTTTGACCATTTCCTTCCCACACCACTCCCAGGTACTGTATATGATCACCAGCTTCACATGTGAGGCATCAGAGGTGTTGTGTGAGAAAGAGAGAGAAACACAGACAGCTGGACAGAATGTGGCCAGTCACTGATGTGACTTAGTTTCCCTTCTTAGGGAATCACAAGATCCCAGCCATCTCAGAGATCCTAGAATGGCAGGGTCTTTGCAACTCAAGAATTCACTCAGTCATGCAATCACTCATTCATCCATTCACTCAACTCTGTCAGCACCTCGTGTATATCAGACACATTCACTAGTAGAACGGATCTTGCCCACCAAGAATTTGTGGATTAGTAAAGGAGAGAGACTTGCAAAGTAAATTTAGATCTGTGTGGTAGGCACTAAAGGAAAACAAAATGTTCACATATGGCAGGAAGCTGGTAACTTCATAAAGAGGTGAGGGAAATCTTGTGCAAAGAGTGAGATTTGAGATTATTGTGGAACTCCGAGTTGGGAAGCTGGCTGGAGGACACTGTAAAGGGACAGGATGTCCTGTCCGCAAATGAATGGCCTGGAAGAAAGGTTGGAGACAACCAAGAGAATGAGGTGTCAGATCAATTGCAGATGGCTTAATGCGGCAGAAACACTTAGAAGGGTGTGTAAGACATGGGATTTGGGACCAAATCTGGACCAGACTCCAAAGGCTATGTTATGATAAGGAGTCTGAATTTTATCCTTTCAATCTGTACTGTTCTGTCCAAGCCATAGACAGCTGTTGATCACTCAGAATGGGCCTGGTCCAAATTGGGATGAGCCATGAGTGTAAAATACACACTGGAGTTTGAAGATTTTGTATGAAAGAAGAGTTTGAGACATATCATAGCTAATTTTTATATTGGTTGCATGCTGAAATGATAATATTTGGGACGTATTGGCTTAAATAAATTGCACTATTAAAAATAGTTTCATCTCTTTCTTCTTACCTTTTAAAAAATACAGCCAACTGGGCAGCCCCGGTGGCTTAGCGGTTTAGCGCCGCCTTCAGCCCAGGGTGTGATCCTGGAGACCCGGGATCAAGTCCCACGTCAGGCTCCCAGCATGGAGCCTGCTTCTCTCTCTATGTATCTCAAATAAATAAATAAATAAATAAATAAATAAATAGACTTACAAAAAAATTTAAAAAAATACAGCCAACAGAAAATTAAAAATTATATATGTGGCTTGCATATGTGACCTCAAAGATGGGAGACAATAAAAGGTTAGAGAGGAGGAGTGCAGGCAAGGCTGGATCTAGGAGTAATGGGGAGGAGGATTGGAGGGTATAGACTGCAGCGGTGGGGACGGTCAAGGTGAGGAATGACCCAGGCTAAAGGAAAGGACTTGACAAGGAGGAAGGCCAGGCCTGGTGACTGATGAGGAAAAGTATAAGAAGTATAAGAAGAACACAGTGCATTTGAGGTAGTAGAAGCACCTGGAACATGGCATGAGCTGAGAACATTGTTTTACACATGTGGGGAAGGGCCAGTACTGACATGTGCCCAGCTCTCTGAGGGGAACCCCTTGGTAAATGGACGTTCTCAGCCAAGTTTGGGATCACAAGACAGATTGTTTGCCTGGCACCTCTCTGAGTATGAGGCATGTCCACCCTAGGTACCTATGTATGAGACCACTTTCTGTAGGACATGTCCTGACCTGCCACCTAGGGGCTCAGGGTGCTGCATGATGGGTCAGGGCTGCAGGCAGCACCCACTGTTTCCTCTTCACCCAGTAAGCTAATTGGCAAGGTCACGCTGCTCACTTCCAGGTTTTTCCATGGGTCCAGAGGTTTCCATGGAGTTATCAAGCAGGAGGAATTGAGATTGACCTTAATTGCCCGACCAAGCATGGCTCGATTGAACCCCAGTGGGAGGACTGTTCCTCGGGAGTAGAGGTTAGCAAGCTCTGGGGCATATCTGGTGTAGCCCTGTTTCTTTAAGTAAAGTTAAAGAGGAACACAGCCATGCCCATCTATATATGTATTCTCTGTGACCACTGGGACGTTATGAGGACAGAACTGAGTAGTTGGGACAAAGATCATATGGCTTGGAAAGCCCAAATTATTTACTATTTGGCTCTTTATAGAAAATAGTTGCCAACTGCTGCCACTCTCTCAGGAAGAGGAATCCATGCATTTCTCTTGCCTAGATCAATGGTGTTTAATCAAGGTAATTTTGCCATCTGGGGGACATTTGGCAACGCTTGGAGACATTTTTGGTTGTCATAATTAGGGGCAGGAAGGCGCAAGTACTGGCATCTACTGGGTAGTGGCTAGGGATGCCTCAACATCTGACAGCGCAGGGGACAGCCCCACAACAAAGAACCGGGTTCGAATGTCAGTAGTACCGAGGTAGTACTCAACCTACCACTAAGCATCCACTGTCCTCCCCAGAGGCTGGTTTACCCTGTAACTCCTACACAACACAGCATCCTGTCCTCAATAGAGATGTCCTCCAAGGTGCAGCCCCTGTGTCCAGCGTGACTCACCAGAGCAGGGGCTTGGGCCGAGCAGACTGTGATGAGCCAGGCTCCTGGGACCTTCACCCTTTGTGGGTTTTGGGTGTGTTCCACTCCCTCGGACCTTTCCCAGAAGAGCTGGGGCCTCCTCAGTACAGCTCAGGACACCAGGCACACCAGACTCAGCAAGCCAACTTCCCAAAACACAAGCGACTTTAATGCCCCAATGTGGCCTCCTTTGGGGTCTAAACAGTGTTACCAGACAAGAAGAAGGTGAGCCCCAACTCTTCTCTGAGCCCTTCCCTCCTCGCCCACACCCGCCCTTCCCTGAGGACACATGGCCTCTGTGTCACTTCAAGACGAGTGTGTCCCGGGGAGCCTGGGACCCTGGGCCAGCAGCCTCCTTCTCTTCCCTCCTCATCTCCTTCTCCCTCTCCAAGCTCTGGGCCCCCACAGCACAGAAATATGTAGCCTCATCCTCAGGCTGCAGCTGCGAGATGCTCAAATACCCGGTGTTCTTGGCCACATCTTTGGATCCAGAGAAGCGAGGGGAGATCTTAAAGCCCTGGTGGTTGTCCAAGTGGGAGAAATATCTCAGCAAGAATCTGGGAGGCTGGCCGGGCTTCTGCTGGTACCAGAAGATGTTGTAAATGCTGACGTCGTGGTCCCTGCTCAAGGTGCAAGGCAGGTGGATTGTGGTTCCAAGTGACGAGGACATGGATGGTGGCTGGTTCAGCACCGGCTGGGAGCCACCACCTGGGGACACAGAAACATATGGGCATGGGGGGCATGCAGAGGAAGGCCGGGGATGGGGCCGGGGTGGTGAACCCTGGGGTGTTCTCACCTATGCAGTGTGCCAGAAGTGCCAGCAGGACAAGGATCCAGGACATGGTGTGGACGTGCTGGGCTGTTAGCTTTGCGCTGGTTCTGGGGCCTTCTTGGGGCTGGGCCAGCACCCTCCTGTGCCCTCCCAGGGGTGGGGCCTTTGCATGCCTGCTTCCTGGCTGCCACCTTCCTGAACTTTCTTGAGTTGGCGGTTGGGGAACGGTCCCATGGCAGCCTCTGTGGCTCTTGCCTTGGCCCCAGGGAAGTGTCTGGGGAGGATGCACCTGCTGCGAGCTCACGGGCCAGTGCCCAGGAGGCCGGCCTGCAAGGTGGGGTCCCTGAGGTAGGGGAACCTCAACGTCCTCCTAAGGGAGCTGAACCACACAGTAACACAGTTCTTGTCCAGATTTACATGTCTGGTGAACCAGCAGAGACAATATATCCTCAAGGTGGTGAAAACCCCTGCTTTGTGCAGAGAAAATGCTGGGGCCCTGGGGTAAGGAGGATACTCTGTCCCCTTCCATGCTCCTGCCACTCCCTCCCACCAAACCCAGTCCTCTTCCCTCCTAGACTGGAGCAGCAGTGACTCACAGCTTCTGAGAAAGAAACACCAATAGGGACTTGGGGACCCCCCCATGTGGGGCCCAGGACAGGTGGGGGAAGAGGTAGAGAAGCCTTTGCCCCCATCAGGTCCCCCCGGGGCTTGGCCTCAGCCTTCCTAACCTCTCTCCTCTTCACAATAGTCCCCCAAAGGAACGCAATAATCCCCGGGGTCCTGCGCCCTCTCCTTGGCCAGTCCCTGCACCTGCAGAGGTTCTGTGTGTCTCATCCCTGCCTCACCTGAGTTGGACCCCATCACCAAGCACTTCTAGAAGGCCCGAGGCCTGCTCTCTGCGTCCATGCTGCCACAAAACTATGCAGGTTGTGCAGCTGGAGGCTGTCCGGATGCTCAGATAGAGACTTACGTCCCTATTAATCAAGGTTCTTCAGAGAAACAGAACCAATAGGACATATACAAAGGAAGAGATCTATTATGAGAAATCGCCTCAATCAGGTATGGAGATTGAGAAGTCCCAGGATGTGCTGTCTTCGAGTCGTAGACCGTGTGTGTGTGTGTTTATGTGTGTGTGTAACACAGTGGGGTAATTCAGTCTGAGTCCAAAGGCTCAGGGGAGTTCAAAGAACCAGGGGAGCCCATAGTGTAAAACCCAGTCCAAGGACAGGAGAAGGCAAATGTCCCTGTTCAGGAGACAGACAGGAAGCAGAAAGGGACAAAGTCCTCTTCCTCCCCGTTTCTGTTCTATTCAGGCCTCCATGCACAGGAAGATGCCCACCCACCTTGGCGAGGGCCACCGGCTTTAATGCACTGGTTCAAATGCTAATCTAATTTAGAGACACCTTCACAGACACACTTGAAGTTACATTGAATCTGAGCATCCTTTGGACGAGTCAAACTGACACATGAAATCAACTATCACACAGTCTTACTCTGTGCACATTCATCAGTGAATCTAGCAGAGGCACTACGTACAAAATGTTTTTATTCTAGGAAGATACATGAACAGGATCTTGGGAATGGGATCAGGGTCTTGGAATGAACAATATACAAGGATATCCTTATGAAGACTATTAAATTAAAAAGAATGTTCCAGAAGAAGAAAACTATATGGGTCAGACAGAAAATGAAGGATGTGTGCAGAACCCTCCAGCAGGATTCTTAGGAGGACAAAAGGTAGTAAACAAAGCCCTTGTCAGGGTGCCTGGCACAGGAGAGACTTCCATTAAGAGGTAGTTACTTCATCAGCTACCTGATGCCATTAGGAGAGAAGGTTGAGAACCTGCTCTCTCCACAAAACATGGTTCAGAGCATGCCTCTGCAGACCTCTGGGGACCCATTTGGTGCACCAAAACCCAAGGTAAAGGGGGGGGGGTCGTCAAGCTGATCACTGGGGCAGGGCTGCCTTGCAGCCCCTAATCCTTACACCAAGTGCTGGGACTTCTGCGTGCAAGGATCCCTCCCTCAGGTTCAGAAGCTCTTTCTGCCCAATTCCCAGAGGGACCCTCCCAGGGTCTAGCTGCCTCTGGGGTCCTCCAGGGTCATCCCCTCCTCCATCTCCCTGTCACACCAGGCTGGCTACAAGCTGGTCCCAGAGTCTGGGCGCCCAGTCCACCACCCGAGCTCAGTCCTCAAGGTTTCAAGGCCTATGCTGGTGCTCCTCTCTCCTGCCCAGCACGCTGGCCACCTGCAACACGAGGATGAGCAGACAAGTGATCCCAGGCCCTGCCTGCAGTCCTGCCCAGGGGACCAGTGTGATGCCATCAGGCCCCACCTGGCCACCCAAGAGGACTTCGGGGACAGGCCCTGGTCCACTTCCCATGCTCCGGCTCCAGCTACCTAAGAAGCACACATTTAATGCAATCCCATTCAAAATACCATGGACTTTCTTCAGAGAGTTGGAACAAATTATTTTAAGATTTGTGTGGAATCAGAAAAGACTCTGAATAGCCAGGGGAATATTAAAAAAGAAAACCAGAGCTGGGGGCAACACAATGCCAGATTTCAGGTTGTACTACAAAGCTGTGGTCATCAAGACAGTGTGGTACTGGCACAAAAACAGACACATAGACCAATGGAACAGAATAGAGAATCCAGAAGTGGACCCTGCACTTCACAGTCAACTAATATTCGATAAAGGAGGAAAGACGATCCACTGGAAGAAAGACAGTCTCTTCAATAAATGGTGCTGGGAACATTGGACATGCACATGCAGAAGAATGAAACTAGACCACTCCCTTTCACCATACACAAAGATAAACTCAAAATGGATGAATGATCTAAATGTGAGACAAGATTCCATCAAAATCCTAGAGGAGAACACAGGCAACACCTTTTTGAACTTGGCCACAGTAACTTCTTGCAATATACATCCACGAAGGCAAGAGAAACAAAAGCAAAAATGAACTATTGGGACTTCATCCAGATAAGAAGCTTCTGCACAGTAAAAGAAACAACAGAACTAAAAGACAAGCTACAGAATGGGAGAAGATACTTGCAAATGACGTATCAGATAAAGGGCTGGTATCCAAGAGCTATAAGGAACTTATTAAACTCAACAGCGGGCAACCCTGGAGGCTTAGCGGTTTAGTGTCGCTTGCAGCCTGGGGTGTGATCCTGGAGACCCGGGGATCAAGACCCACGTCAGGCTCCCTGCATGGAGCCTGCTTCTCTCCCTCTCCCTCTGCCTGTGTCTCTTCTCTCTCTCTCTCTCTGTGTGTCTCTATGAATAAATAAATAAAATCTTTAAAAAAATAAATTCAACAACAAAGAAACAATTGGTCATGAAATGGGCATAAGACATGAACAGAAATCTCACAGAGGAAGACATAGACATGGCCAACATGCACATGAGAAAATGCTCTGCATCACTTGCCATCAGGGAAATACAAATCAAAACCACAATGAGATACCACCTCACACCAGTGAGAATGGGGAACATTAACAGGGCAGGAAACAACAGGAGAGGATGTGGGGAAAGGGGAACTCTTTTGCACTGTTGGTGGGAATGGGAACTGGTGCAGCCACTCTGGAAAACTGTGTGGAGGTTCCTCAAAGAGTTAAAAGTAGACCTGCCCTACGACCCAGCAATTGCACTGCTGGGGATTTACCCCAAAGATTCAGAAGCAATGAAACGCCGGGACACCTGCACCCTGATGTTTCTAGCAGCAATGTCCACAGTAGCCAAACTGTGGAAGGAGCCTCGGTGTCCATCGAAAGATGAATGGATAAAGAAGATGTGGTCTATGTATACAATGGAATGTTCCTCAGCCATTAGAAACGACAAATACCCACCATTTGCTTCAACGTGGATGGACCTGGAGGGTATTATGCTGAGTGAAGTAAGTCAGTCGGAGAAGGACAAACAGTGTATGTTCTCATTCATTTGGGGAGTATAAAAAATAGTGAAACGGAATAAAGGAGAAAAGAGAAAAAATGAGTGGGAAATATCAGAGAGGCAGACAGAACATGAAGACTCCTAACTCTGGGAAACGAACAAGGGGGGAAGAAGGGGAGGAGGGTGGGGGGTGGGGGTGACTGGGTGACGGGCACTGAGGGGGACACTGAGGGGATGAGCACTGGGGGTTATTCTACATGTCAGCAAATCAAACACCAAAAAAACCCGCAAACGCAGGCCCTCCCCCCACGTGACCCACGGAAGAGCGGCGCAGGCCCGTTCCCTCCCGCACCCCACGTGACTCAGGGAGAAGCCGCCGCTCCAGACGCCCTGGGAGCCGGAGGAGGCTTCCAGGCGCTGCGGGCGGGCTCTGAGCCTTCCGTTTCGGGCCCTTTGGGGACGACTCCGTTCCCGACGTCGCCGTTGTCAGCTGCCGGAGGGCTCCGCGGTCACCCGGGCCTCGCCCTGTGGAACAGGAGCCCCGAGCCCACCGGCGAGGCCGCGGGACGGCGGGATGTGCCGCAGCCTGGCCCAGGCTCCCCGCGCGCCCCGGCCCAGGCGGGAAGCGGCCCCCAGAGAGGGTGTGAAGGGACGCGGACGGTCGCCCCCGGGGGGTGCGGGCGGCGGCCTCGCGGGCCAGCGGAGCCGGAGCCGGAGCCGGAGCCGGAGCCGGAGCCGTTCTCTCGGGCTCTGACCGCCTGCGCGGCCTGGTAGCCTTGACCTGGGAGGCGGCCGCCACGCCGAGCCCGGAGGGCACGTGGTAGGCCCGGGGCCTCGCCTCGGGCTGCGGGTGCGCACAGGCCCGCTGGCGTCCAGGAGCCCATCTCGGGAACCGGAGCTCAGGGAGCCCAGGCGCGGGGGGCGGCCCCACGGCCAGGGCCAGAGCCAGAGCCAGAGCGTCAGCCGGCGCTGAATCGGGATGGCAGCCCGCGGAAGGGAGGGCACGAGCCGCGCACAGCACGCGCTTCGGGGAGCGTCCTGACGAGTAAGTGGTTCGTGATGAGGGCCCGGGGATTGGACGGCTGTGCTGGGCTGGGGACACGGAGGCAGGGAGCCACCTGGCGATTGCGAGCCAGCCTCGGGACCTGCTCGGTAGCAAACAGGACGCCTTCGTCTTGGGCAGGTGGGTGTGGGGGATGCGGGCCGGACAGCTAAGGGTCTGCCTGGGACTTAATGATGAGGGAAGTGGCGTTCCCACGAAGGTTAAACTCCCAGCCACGCCGGTTTGCTGTGCTAAAGTCCTCCCGTTCGGGAAAGACTGGCACCTTGGCGTATTGATAGAGTTACCTGCATTGAGGCCCCTGTGATCTGAAATCGTCCTTAACCCTCTGAGCCCATGGGAGTGAGTGGGCCAAGCCACTCTTATTTTTTTTTTTTTAAAGATTTTATTTATTTATGACAGAGAGAGGGGCACAGTCAGAGGCAGAGCCAGGCCCCTTGCAGGAAGCCTGACGTGGGACCGGATCCCGGGTTTCCAGGATCAGGCCCTGGGCTGATGGCGCGCTAAACCACTGAGCCACCCGGGCTGCCCTCCCACTCTATTAAGAACTAAAATCTTGGGACCCCTGGGTGGCTCAGTAGTTGGGCATCTATCTGCCTTCTGTTCAAGGCTTGATCCTGGGTTCCTGGGATCAAGTCCTGCATAGCGCTCCTGGCACGGAGCCTGCTTCTCCCTCTGCCTAGGTCTCTGCCTCTTTCTCTGTCTCTCTCAAGAACAAATAAAATCTTAAAAACAAAACGAGCAAAACTAAAATCTTTAGGGCACTTGGGTGGCTGTGTTGCTTAATTAAGCATTGCACTTGATCTTGGCTTATTTCTTGACCTTTGGGTGGTGAGTTCTGTCCCCATGCTGGGCATGAGGCCTACCTAGAAAAAACAGCCAAAACACACAACTGAAAAAAAAAAAACCCATCCCCCTAAAAAACAAAAACCCCATCAAAGTCTTTTATTTGAATACTTGCAGAGCTATCCTTCACTGAGACAGAATGCAGAGCCATCCTTCACTAAGACAGAATTTGCTCTTCTTGCCCTCTTCTCCAGTTTCTCCCCTTGTGTGTAACAGGGACTATGTTCCAGCATAACAGCAGGAGATACACTCAGGCTGAGAAGGGAGATAAAGGTACTACACCCTAAGGAGGCTGAAAGGCCTAACCAGCAAGTACCAGCTTGGGGACTGTGTTTGGGACTGGATTATAGGTGCTTGATAAAGGAGAGGGGGATTGAGATTGGGTAGGGTGAATTTACTGCTTTGGGAGTATTCTTCTGAGATACAAGGTTTGACATTCTGTCAGGGGCCGCAGGAGTTTTTGCGCAGTGAACTTGCTACGAGGATGGCTTCTAGAAGCATGAAAGGAAGCTATGGCCCATGCTGAGTGAGGTTGAAATTGCTGGATCGCTGACAGATGGCAGCTGAAGGCTAAACCACTCAGGGATTGTGAAGCTGGGATACATATGATGACTTTCTAAGGTAAGAAAACCCAAGCAAATGGATATATTCCACAGGAAGCACCAGCAAACACACCATTTCCCAAGGCTCTAGGAATATGCTGAAGAGAGGGACAGCAGCGTCGTTAAACAGTTCAGTGGTGGGGTACGTGCATAGGCCAGTGCTGACAAACAGTAAGTTGCCTGTCATAGAAACGGATGACAGGACCGTGCAGCAGTTGAGGTCAGGCAGTGGCATTGAACCATCAAAAGCCAGGTTTACACCATTTACTGTGAGCCATGAGGTTGGAGTGGCAGCCAAGGCACCAACCCACAAAGGGTTCCCGAAATGGTTTGAGGAGCCCAGTGTTTTTCGTACAAAATGGAAGGTCAGCCACCAAGAGTAGTACTCTTATTATCAAGAAATCAAGGCTGGATGATGGGAGGCTGAAGACGGCTCAATACAAAGGCATGATCCCTTGCCAACTTGTAGTCAGTGTTCAGGCCTGAGACTGTCTAGTCCTTGAAGAGGAGGCCCAGGTCCCCAGAACAAAGGACCATGTATGTATGACAAGGGGACTCAATAATATTCTTCCAGGAATTTCCATACATTTTATTCAGCCTATCTGTTACCTGTTGCTGTGCAATAAGTTACCCCAAAACTTAGCACCATAATTGACTATTTTTGTTATCTCACATGGTTTCTGTGGGTCAAAAATATAGTTATAGCTTAGCCAGATAGTGCTGGCTCATGGTGTCTCTGAGAATGCAGACAAGATGTGGGTTGGGGCTGTAGTCATTTGAAGGTTGAGCTGAGCCTGGGATCTCCACTTCCAAGGCAGCTTACTCACATGCACAAGCAGGGGGAGCAGCAGGCTCCCCGCTGAACAGAGGGCCTGATGTGGGGCTTGACCCCAAGACCCTGGGATCATGACTTGAGCCACCCCGGTGCCCGGCCAGTAAGTTTTTGACAAGAGGCCTCAATTCCTTGCCACATGGACGTTTCCATAAGGCTGCTTGGGTGTTTCCATGACGTGAAAGCAAGTGATCCAAGGGGAGGCAAAGTGGAAGTCACAATGCCTTTTATGACCTAACGTTGGAAGTCACACATCGTAATTGCCACAGATTGTCACAGGTCTGCCTTACTCAGTGAAGCAGGGGACTTCATAAGGGCATGACTGAATACCAGGAGGCTAGAATCATTGTGGCCATTTGGGAGGCTGCCTACCACATTTGGGTAAATGTAAACAAAGGGGATTGGACTATATGAGTAATTTGAGGAGTGGACTGGGGAAGGGGGAATATACCAAGAATTTCAATATTGTTGGATGTAGGGTTAACATTAGTATCTGGATATACACAACATAATCATGGCTCACTGTTAGGATGGGGGCCTATGGGGAGCCAAATAAATAGAATCCCAGGTCAGGATCCAGCTCACAATGGTAACCGTGTGACATTACCCAGTTTGCAGATGTGTAATGGAATAGAATGTTTGAAAATCCATGCAGAACACACATTGGGTCTTTCATTTGTAGGGTAAGAACTCTCATGATTGTGGAGGCCAAGTGGAGGCCTCTGTACCTGTTTCCATCCGTGGTGAAGATAGTAAGTATAAAACAATATCACAATCTAGGAGGAATGACGGATATTCTTATTACTCTTTTGTTGTTTTGTTTTGTTTGGTGTTTTTTTTTATTCCTTTTTTTAAAAAGCGATTTTATTTTTTTATTCACAAGAGACAGAGAGAGAGAGGCAGAGACATAGGCAGAGGGAGGAGAAGCAGGCTCCATGCAGGGAGTCCAATGTGGGACTGGATCCTGGGATTCCAGGATCACGCCCTGAGCCAAATGCAAATGCTCAACTACTGAGCCACCCAGGCATCCCTAATTTTATTCCTCTTACGGATATAAAGGACTCAAGTGATGGTCTGCGTCATATTTCCATTTAATTCACCTGTCTACCCCTGCAGAAACCAGATTCATCCTGGAGGTTGGCCGAAATTTCCATAAATTCACCCAGATAGTAGCCCCAACTGAGGCTGCTATGCCAGATGTACTCTCTTTGCTCAAGCCAGATTCATGACTTCTCAGGTACATGGTATACAAATATTAGTTGGCAAATGTGTTTCTTTCTACCCCTATCAGATACCGTTTAGATTCACATGGAACAGACAACAGTATGCATTTCACATTGCTCCAGGGTTGTACCTTTCCAGTCTGTCATTGTTCACAAACCACCTGGGTATCTGAAGAACATTGTACCAATTTGCTTCTCTGATAGGTTGTTAATGGAGTTAGATTACAGGAAATGTCTGGCACATTGGAAGCCTTGGTAAGAAACGTGCATTCCATTGATGGAGAAGATGCCTGTGAGATTCAAGGATCTGCCACATGAGAACAATTTTGAGTGCCCCAACAGTTGGGGACATGCTGGGTCCTATCATCCAAAGTAAAACATGAGTTATACCACTTGAACCTCCTGCAGAGAAGGAAGCACAATGCCTGAGAGGACTTTTCTGGTTTTGGAGACAACATATTCCACATCTCAGAACACTTCTCTGCCTTGTATACCAGGTGACACAAAAGACTGCCGCTTAAAAAAGAAAAAAAGATTTTATTTATTAAAGAAGGAGAGCACAGGGGAGGAGCAGAGGGAGAGGGAGAAGCAGGTTCCCTGCTGAGCACGGATCCCAAGACAGGGCACGATCCCAGGACATTGAGATCACAACTTGAGCCAAAGTTCCCAATGCAGGGCTCCATCCTAGGACCTTGAGATCACAACCTGACCAAAGTCAGACTCTTAACTGACTGAACCCAAAAAGACTTTGACTTTTGAGTGTATCCCAGAATAGGAAAGTTCTCTGCAGAGCAGCAGAGTCTAAGCTGCAGTTGAAAGCAGCCTTGTTGCTTGGGCATAAGTCTGAGCCGATCTCAGAGGATTGGGTGTATAATGGGTAGGGAATGGTACCTTCCAGGACTCTGGAGCAAGCCCATGCTGTCCACAGAGGTGGCTCGGATATGTTTCATAAAGCCGTTCCTGTAATGCTGCTGGGCCCTGGTGGAAGACCGTTGGACATGATATGACCGCATGCCCAGAACTGCTTGTTGTGAGGTAAGTTCTGTCAAACCCACCAAGTGATAAAGTTGGTTAGGTTCCACAACTATCCACCGGTGAGCGGAGGAGTCCCACAGAGTTAGAAGCCACGGCTGCCACCTGAAGACTTTATCCTCTTTGTGTCTAGCACCGAGTTGGCAAGCAAAGGAGCCCCCATTCTTGGTTGGAGTGAATGACCCAGGTTAGGAAAGGATAGGGCTGCTTTTAAACCGGGACATAAGGGACGCCTGGGTGGCTCAGCAGTTAAGCACCTGCCTTCAGCTCATGGTGTGATCCTGCACTTCTTGGATCAAGTCTCACATCGAGCTCCCCGAGGGAAATCTGCTTCTCCCTCTGCCTATGTCTCTGCCTCTCATTCTGTGTCTCCTATGAATAAATAAATAAAATCGGAAAAAAAAATTAAAACCAGGGCATAAAGAGCAATAAGTTTGACTCCCAGGAGATCCATCCAGGACCCTCTTGGTATTCCCTTGCCCTGTTGTGACAGTAAAAAGACAAGTGCCACAACCCTTGCCAGAAGAGGCCTGGTGAGCAGGGGCTCAGAAATTTTAGAGATGAAGGTGTGAGGAAGGCCACCTGGCAACTTAGCGAGGAGGACAGCAGAGTTTGTACGGACCTTGACGGGAATCTGCAACAAATAATGCAGGGAGGACAAGATGAGTATCCATCATAGCCCAAGACCAGCTGCAGTGGCCAAGGCCATCATTTACTCACTGGTCTTCCTCTTCTGAGTCTCCCCCAGGATTAGAGGCCCCTGGAATCTCGGGGGAGACCCTTCCCAGATAGGTGAAGTGCATTCAGGCGGTGCACATGGTCAGTTGGCCAGCAATAGATCCTGGATTTTGTGGATGAGAAGAGGAGTGACCCATTGTTGCCTGCACTCAGAAGCCAGAGGCCTCAGCTCCTCCTATCCTGCTGGGCAGAGGCCCAAAGCCTTGGGGTGAAAATCCCCACAAAGGGAGAAAGCAGAAGTCAGTGTGACAAGTAGACTGTGCTTAACAGCCACCTCAACTACAGAGGGAGGTTGATGATCGTTCAGGTGCAGGTGCGCAGCGGGGAGATGCTTAGGGGCTTCAGGTGGGAGAAGCTGTAGGTGGGAATGGCTCCTCCTCAGAAAGGCATTTGGGAGGAAGGCTGACAGGCTGAGGGGGAGGGGAATGGAGGTCGCCTCAGAGTGTGGGAGTTCTCACTGCCGACCTTTGGAGAACCTCTTTTCTATGTCCTCTGCAGCCATCAGTAGGATATACATCCCTCTTGGGAGTCAAGTAGTTGGACTGACTTTTTTGCTGAGTGAGAGGGGCATGAGGGAGGGGCAAGGGCAGAGACACCCCTCCAGGTTCCAGGCATGTGGCTCTTCTTGGGCTGTTCCTTCAGAGAAATGGGACATTTCAGAAGCACAGGGGAGGGTTCACACACAGCCACTTCTGCAGCAAGGGCCCTCCTGCTACCGAGGAGCTCTGCCATCAGAACAGTTGGTGGATCATGACAGGGGCCTGGTGTGCCCTCCTGTCCTGCTTGCTCCATAGGCTGCTTCCCAGGCCTCCGCTCTGAGCTGGTGCCCCTTCCTGCTCATACATAGGTGGAGCATGCTCAGTTGGGTCATAGTCCAGTGTTTTGGTTGTTCTAAATGCTCATGTACCAAACCTGCCCCAGCGCAATCCCCTTGTGCCCCACAGAAGAGCAGCCTGCCATGGGATGTGAGGGCTGAGCACTGCTCCAGGGAGCAGCAGAGCAGTCGGGGTGGGAAGTAGAGGAAGGTCGGGCCCGGGTGTGGATTGCTGGCCGTGCTGGTGGTGGAGGTAAACGCACGTGTCTGTAGAGACTCCTTGAGTACCACAGTGCTGGCCGTGGGCTCTGGCCCTCGCCTGGGGCCCTGCCTGCGGCTATCACTCCTGAGGCCTCGTGGGTTCTGCAATTGATTTCTGATTTCACCACCTGTGTAGGCTTAGGTGTTGGCTTCTGTAGTCTGCACACTAGTTTCCCTAATCCACCTTCTTCAGTTGGCTTTGTCTTGAAGAGTGGGACTGCCTAATTCATTCTCCTTGACTTTCTGGTCTTAGCTATTCCTTTACTTCATTTGGGTTTTCAAGAGGCAGCTCTGAGTACTCATGCTCAGTCGTCCATGTGTGATCAGAAGTTCACTGAGAGATTCCCAAATGTGTCATTCTGCTCTTGTTCCTAGAAGAAATGCTTTGTGATTCTGCTCTGTTCAAAGAACACCATTTAGTTGTTCTTAGTATTGTTTTAGTAACGACCTTTGTATCTGCTTATACTTGAGATGGTACATCTTAAAGAAGATTTATTTACTTGAGATAGTACAAGCAGGGAAAGAAGGGCAGAGGGAGAAGCAGACTCCTTGCTGAGTGCAGGGAGCCCAATTCGGGGCTCAATCCCAAGACCCTGGGATCATGACCTGAGCTGAAGGCAGCCGCCTAGCTGAGCCACCCAGGCCCCCCACGATGGTGCTTTAATGTTCCCTTCTCTTGTCTTTTTCTGACATTTTGTGTAAAAAATTCACTAGCCCCATAAGAGGGGTTTTTTATGTCACCTTGATTTTTTAAAAATAATTTTCTAGTCTCTGAATTGCACTGAAGGTTGGTAGAATGTGAATAGGAATGTATTCCATAGAGCAGGAAGGAGGACAGATCTGAACTTGTGGAAAGTTGCCGTTACTGTTTTAGAAGCTCTGCTTGCCAGAGAAGGCAAACAAAACCTCAGGACCCAACCTCTTACCACTGGACGAGGGTAAGAGATGGGTTATTCTGTCCTGCTCCTTGAAATCACCTTGGAGATGGTGATGATCTTTGGGAAAGTTCAAGAAATAAGGTTTGGAACAATTTATACTCTCTGAAGTCCAATAAAGAATGGAGATGAAGCCATAATTGTTTTCCTTCAGTTAGCTGGTATTAAGGGACACTGGGTGACACCAGCAGAGAAAGAGCTGAAGATTTAGGACTAGAAGTTGTCTTATGGCAGGAGGGGTGGAGGACCGCCTAGGGTCTCACTTCCTGCTAAGATGGGTGGTTGAGGCTGAGTGTCCTGTGCCAACAGAAGGAGGCTGAGCACCGTGAAAATCTACTTAGGCTTTTCCCTTAACCTTGTGCCAGGTTGGTGGAGATGAGTGGACAAGACCCTCTCAATCTCTTGGATCTTGCAGCACAGAGCCTGCGGAATGACAAGGCCTCAGCTGTACGTGCCCTGGAAGAGCACCCTGTGGGCCTTTTCCCAACTCTGTCCACAGTAGCCTTTGATGGGGGATACACGAAGACTGTGACAGCAATGGTGCAGGCCTGGCCCTTTCCCTGCCTCCATCTGGGACTGTTAAGATTTCAGTCAAGAACTCAAGACCTCTTGGAAGCCGTCCTGGATGGGCTGGAGTTGGTTCCTCCCCACGCTGCTTGGCCCAGGTAACTGGTGAGATGGGGTGCTGGTAGGGGCTCAGTGAATTGCAGAAATGGGAGCTGGATTCAGGGATGTGGAGTCCAAGCATGTGCTAGCCTCTCCTGGTGGTGCAGCATCCGTCATCGTGAGGCCCTGAGGCCATTGTCAGAGTCCCTCTGAGAAGAGAGTCCTGGCATAGTTCAGAGCTGATCATGCTACTGAGGTGGTTAAGAGTGTGACTGGGTTCCTGGGTGGCATCCCGGGAACGTATAAAGTGGGGAAAGGAGGAGGGCACCTAGAAGGCGTAGTGGACGGCAGAGGGCAGGGCTGCTGGTTGGCACAGTGGTGGGTCCCCAAGGTCTGCCGCTGTTGCTGGTCTCTTGCCCGCCCTGCTCTACTGGCCTGAAATTCCTCATGTCTGCTCTCCTCCTCATTCCCCACAGGAGATCAAAGCTGAAGGTGCTGGATTTCACCCATGACTCCATCTGGGAGGAGTGCTCGGAGGCTACTCCTGCACCCTTTGTCATCACACACATGCTAGAAGAGCCAGAGGCGGACCAGCTGACACCCAGTTCGAAAGAACAGCCTCAGCATCACCAAGAACCCGAGGAAATGCATACAGACCTTCTCCTATGTGGTTTGTTCGGCTTCTTCCACCTGTCTGGGTTCCCCTTGTACATACTCCAGAGAGTCGAGAGAGCCATGGCGGTCTGCACCTCCACTGTCAGACACTGGTCATTGACCAAGTGCCATTCCTCAGCCTTGTAGAGATCTGGAGATGCTGGAGCTGGAGACCATCCGAGAGCTGAGGCTTCATCACAGGAGTAGGTTCTGCTCCCAGACGGACCTAATGCAGTTCCTCACCCAGGTAGGGCAAATGAGCAACCTGGGCAACCTCATCATGAACGACATCCCCTGGGATTTCCCTGCAGACTGTTTCTCTTTGCTGAGTCCACTGGGCCGCCTCCAGAAGCTCCATCTCATCTTTGGCTGTCTCTTGGGTCAGCTGCATAAGATGCTGAGTGAGTGTGCGACAAGTCCCTCTGAAGGGCCAGGGGCCAGGATCCCTGGAGTCGTCCCTGAACCCCGCTGCGTCGGAGCAGAGACAAGCCTGGATTTCCAATCCTGTGAGGCCGCAGAGTCACTGAGGACACAGACTGCAAGGCTGACGTCCTGGACCAGCCAGTGGCTGTCGATTGCTATAGAAGAGAAAGATGCAGGTCTGAAATTAGCCTGTCATTCACTCTTTCATTCATTTTCACGCACTCATTCCATGCCAAGCAGACAGCTAAGAATGGATATGAAACTCTGACCAAAATCAGGGTCTCGTCTTCCTAGAGCTTATGTAGAGAAAGTGAACCAGGATGGTAGGTTGTCAGGGTGGTGTTTGAGGGAGGGAACTGCCCCCCCACCAATGTCTAAGCTCAGCTGATTTGATGAACACCTTCCTCTCTTTTGTGTCTCTGTAGCCTGCCCCCCGCCCCCCCCCGAATACAGAGGTGTTCTCCTGGGGCCTGGTCTTTTTTTTTTTTTTTTCACTTGGGATCCAATGATTGAAGGTTTTATTTTTTTTATTTTATTTATTTATTTTTTAATAAATTAATTTTTTATTGGGGTTCAATTTACCAACATACAGAATAACATCCAGTGCTCATCCCGTCAAGTGTCCCCCTCAGGGCCCGTCACCCATTCACCCCCACCCCCTGCCCTCCTCCCCTTCCACCACCCCTAGTTCATTTCCCAGAGTTAGGAGTCTTTATGTTCTGTCTCCCTTTCTGATATTTCCCACACATTTCTTCTCTGGGGCCTGGTCTTTGAGTAAATAGAAGCATGGGGAACCATCTTCCCACATTCTCCAGCCAGTAAAACCTACGCTTTACCATGTGTAGGAGCTATAGCTAAATTTCATCAATTCTGCTACACTTTGTGGAGCATGTGTGATAATTGTGTTGATGGGGCTCATTAGGAAGTTAAGGCTGAGAGTGCCGACTCCATAGTCTGCAAACAGAGAGGTCCCATGGCGAGTAGGGATAGGTTTCACTCCACACTTTGTGGTCTTAACCACTACAGAAGCCTGGCTCCCACCATGTGCATCCAGACTCGGGTAGGCGTGGTGCCAATTTCTCAGGCCAGATTTCTGGATCTTTCCCAAATGTATCTAGTGGGACACTCGGGTTTCCAAGAAGTGACTCTGTCTGTCTCTCCACAGTGGCCTGCAAAACCACTGGAGACGCTGATGATCAATGGATGCAGGCTCATTGAGAATGACATCACCTACTTGTCCCAGAGCATTCATGCCACCCGCCTGAAGGAGTTGGTTCTCTGTGGCAATAACCTGTCCCACACGGTTCCTGGGCCCCTCCAGGTTCTGCTGGGGGAGGTGTCCGGCACTCTACAGCATCTGAACTTGCGCAGCTGCCGGCTGAAGGAAGCCCAGCTCGGAACCCTGCTTGCCTGCTCTGTGCTGCTGCTCGAGCCTCCCCTCGCTCGTGTTCTACGACAATGTCATCTCCACATCAGGCATCACGAACGTGCTTTAACACTTAGGAGAGTTGAAGGAGCTTAAGTGTGTGCAGTCCCCTATTCCTGCTGAATGTGTTGTATACTTGGATGAATACAGGTGGGGGAAGCTCAACAGAGTGGAACTTGCCCGGGTGCAGGCCAAGTTGCAGGAAATGTTGCAAGCACCACAGCGGGCCGACATGGAGTCAACTAATTCTACCTCAGTGGCCTGACAATGAAAACGCACAGCTGACCTGATGGGGAACAGGAGCAGCATCTGTCCTGGAGCTGTGGTAGTGGATTTCCCGGATGGTGTGGCTTTAAGGAAAACTATCAAAACAAAAAAACACAACCAACGCTCTTGTGGGGACTGCTGTTTCTGGATCCAGCTGGGGCTCAATTCTTCATGAAATTGACAAGCACTGGTCAAACATGGACACTGTGCAAGTGTTCTAATGCTGCGTATAAAAGGACAACTTCGCCTGACACTGGTAGTTCTAGTCTGTTTACCCAGTTTCCCTTCCATTTTGCTTTAGTATTCCCACTTTGAACAGCACACTGTTGGGTGAGTTACTTCTCAAAACATTAGTTTATAAAGTGAGGTCATTGAAATGTTCATCAAAGGAACAGGTGTACGTGATACGATCAGCACGGAGCATTCATTCAGCTATTTATTCAAATATTTGTTGACTTCCTGTTTTGTTCAGAAACTGCTCTCACCGGGAAGACGGTGTAAACATTCGGGGTGTCTGCTCTCGAAGAACTTTGCTTTGAAAGAGCATGGGGACCACTAAACCAAGTCAGCAGACCTGTTAGAAAGCTGGTTTCAACGGAGCACTGTAAGAATGACAGAAGGAATACCAGTATGATTGGGGTTATTGGAGTTAGGAGCACTATGAGATGATTGAGAATATGTATCAGTCTCTTCCCTCAGTTGCTGGCACAGAGCTCCTGAAACCTTATCATTTCCTAAGTAATAACACTAGGAACATCCTCCATTCCAACATTTGGTCTTTGACCCCATCCCTGACAGAGGGCTTTTGTTTTTTTAAGATTTTATTTATTCATGAGAGACACAGAGAGTGAGAGGCAGAGAGAAGCAGGCTTCCATCCAGGGAGCCCGATGTGGGACTGGATCCTGGGACACTAGGACCACGCCCTGGGCAAAAGGCAGGGCTAACCCACTGAGCCACCCAGGAGTCCCCAGAGGGCTCTTGAAAGCTTTATAAATTCCTAAGTGATAAGAGTGCTAGGATCACCTTTGTTTTAATGAGGTGGCTCAGGCTGTGCTCTCAGATGGCTCCCGGATGGGGCTGGTCCCCAGAAAGATGAGGCCATGATTACAAGCTTGGAATTTTTGGCCCCATCCCTCATCTTTCAGAGTAGGGAAGAGGGGCTGGAAATGGAATGAGTTGATCATGCCTACGTGAGGAAACCTCCCTAAAACCCCAGTCATAGGGGATTTGCAGAGCTTCCACATGGATGTACCCCAACACCACAAGGACAGAAACTCCTGCACGTCCTCCCCCCGCCAAGACTTCACCCTGTGTAAGTCTTCATCCGGCTCTTCATCTGTATTGTTTGTCCTTTTATAACTGGTAAATGTGTTTCCCTGAGATCTGTGAGCCACTGTAGCAAATTACTCCAACCCAAGGTGGGGCTCATGGGAGCCTCTGATTTGCAGCCAGATCAGACAAGTTGTATAACCTGGGGACTTAACTACTATTGGCATCTGAAGTAGGGTGGGGGCCGTCTTGTGGGACTGGGCCAGTATGTTGGGATCTGCCACTATCTCCAGTGGATGGTATCGGAGATGTGATGTGACTGAGTTCTCATTGCAGGGAAAAATCGCCACAGGCCTAAAGTGTCAGAAGTCACTTGTGTGAAGAGTAAGGGAGACACAGGAGAGACTCCCAGCAGGGAATCCCCAGGTTTTTCCCTTTGAAGGAGGTAGAACTGGGGTTTTCCTTTATAGCCCCTATTCTTTTTGAGGGGGGTTGTGGTGTGGGAGATCAGGGAATTGAGGCTTCTGTGTGAACCTTCTGATGACTCATAGGTGAGTGTTGAGAAGCCCTCAGATATGAGGAGAGCTGGGGACACCCCTCCCAGGCGGAGAAATGAGAGGTACGGTGAGAAGGAGTCAAGGAGATGGAGGCTTCACTTTGAGTAGTATGGATAGGTTAACAGTATTTTTCCAATCCAGGAACTTGGAATGTCTTTCCATTTATTTGTGTCCTTGAAAATTTCCTTCATCAGTGTTTATAATTTTCAGCATACAAGTCTTGCACCTCTTTTGGTTCCTAAGTATTTTATTCTTGCTGTTGTTATGGTAGATGGAATTGTTTTCTTAATTTCTTTTTTAGATATTTCATTGTTAGTCTTTAGAAATGTCTCCAATTTTTATTTTATTTTTTTTTAATTTTATTTTATTTTATTATTTTTTTTAACTTTTATTTATTTATGATAGTCACAGAGAGAGAGAGAGAGAGAGAGGCAGAGACACAGGCAGAGGGAGAAGCAGGCTCCATGCACCGGGAGCCTGACGTGGGATTCGATCCCGGGTCTCCAGGATCGCGCCCGGGCCAAAGGCAGGCGCCAAACCGCTGCGCCACCCAGGGATCCCTCCAATTTTTATATGTTGATTTTATATTCTGCAAGTTTACTGAATTTTAGTAGTTTTTTGTGGAAAGTCTTTACACTTTCCTACATATATGATCTTTCCACCTGCGAATAGATAATTTCACTTTTTTCTTTATGACTTCTATACCTTGTGTTTCTGTGTCTTGCCTGATTGCTCAGGCTAGGACTTCCAGAACAGTGTTGAGTAGCAGTAGTGAGAATGGAGATGGTTGCCTTGTTCTTTCAGGTTTAACGGACTGGTTATATTAGCTGTAGAGTTTTCATAGATGGGCTTTATTGTGTTGAGGTTTTAGAAGTTTTACTGAACATGAGTTGGTGTTGAAATTTGTCACATGTTCTGCATCTGTTGAAATGATGATGATGTAATATTTGTGTCTCATTCTTTGTATTGTGTCTCACATTGATTTGCATTGATTTTGCATGTGTGAGGCCAACTTTGAATCCCAAGGATAAATCCCACTTGGTCATGATATAGGGCTCTCTTGATGTGCTGTTGAATTTAGTTTGTTAGTACAGTTGACCCTTGAGAACAGCATGGTGGATAGGGATGCCAACAGTCAGAAATCTGTATATAACTTTTGTCTTCCCCAAAACTTAACTACTAATAGCATATTATTGTCAGAAGCCTTACCGACATGACTAACACATATTTTATGTTGCATGTATGATATACTGTATTTTTATAGTAAAGTAAACTAGAGAAAAGGAAATAGTAAAAAAATCATAAAGAAGAGAAAATAGGGGTGCTTGGGTGGCTCCTTCAGTTAAGAGTTCAACTCTTGGTGTCGGCTCGGGTTTCAATCTCAGGGTCATGAGTTCAGGCCCTGCATTGGGCTCCACGCCCAATGGAGTGTACCTTCAAGGGTGTGGGGGGTGGGTACCTGGATGATTCAGTTAAGCATCTGACTCTTGATTTCAACGCAGGCCATGCATGATCTGAGGGTCGTGAATTCAAGCCCCACTGCAGACTCCATGCTGGGCATAGAGCCTGCTTAAGATTCTCTCTCCCGCAAAAAAAAAAAAGATTCTCTCTCCCGCTCCCTCCCGCCACTTGCCCACATGCACTCTAAAAAAAGACAAAATAGGGTCAGGGTACTGTATATATACTTATGTGAGTGTCCTGGCTCAGGACAGGAATGGTGGCCCTGAGATGGCCATGTCCTATAGCCTGGTAGCCTTGGCTCATCAGTAGGTCGCTGGGTGGGTCCATAGGTGGCAGCAATATCTTGGAGGTTCAGTATAGCTGCCCCATCTGCCTGCAGGTGTACCACAAGCCATGGTCAATAGCTGCTGTAGCCAAACTTGAGTGTGCTGGCCTGCAGGAGGCCATGGGCCAGGGCACCACTATGAGGAAGAGTCCAAACCCAGCCCAGGAGGGGCCCAAGGCCTGCAGTCACGCCTGCTGCATGGAGGACTTGGGAGGGGTGAGGGCACCAGGGGTGTGGGGCTCTCTTTGCAGCACTGTCTCTGCCCTCTGGGCACTTTTTACTTTAGCCCAGCCTTCTACCTGCCAGCCCCAGGAGTTCAGCCCAATCACTCCATTAGTACATGAGGTGACCTGCCCAGTCCTGGGACCCCCTGTGGTGGGCGGATGCTGGCAGCCTCACTGAGCCTCTCTAGGTACTCAGAAGGCAACAACAGATAGGACATCTGTGCTACAGGCCTTCAGTTTGGTCCTAATGCGGTTGTAAATAAATGCCTTGTGGCTTAATGTTGGCAGCTCTTTGAGAAGCTACATTTAAGTGAATCCATGCAGTTCAATCAACCCTGTGGTGTTCACAGATCAACTGCATATCCTGTTTTTTTCTTAAATATCTGTGTCTATGATAAAGGTTACTTTATCAATTAGGTACCGTGAGATATTAACGATAAAGCTAATATACAAAAAATTGTAACAACATAGCCTAAAAAAAGTTATGTGAATGTCTCTCACAAAATACCTTATTGTACCAATCGCACCCCTTTTCTTGTGAGGATGTGAGGTGACACAGTGCCTGTGTGATGAGATGAAGTAGGTGAATAACGTACGCCTTGTGACGTAGTGTTAGGCTACTGTTGACCTTCTGATTTTACCTCAGAAGAAGGAGGGTCATCTGCTTCCAGATCACAGTTGATCAGAGGTATTTGAACCAATGGAAAGCAAAACCGTGGGTGAGGGGGATTACTGTATATCACTGTGATGCTATGATGTGGGGTGCATGTATATTTACAAGTCTTATGTTTTACTTCTGGGTTAATCCTTTTATCATTACATAATGGCATTCTTCGTTTCGTGAGACCATTTTTGACTTAAGGTCCATTTTGTCTGACATAAGCATAGCCACCCTTTCTTTTAGTTACCATTTGCATGGAATATTTTCCATTCCTTCACTTTCAGTCTGTGTGTATTCTTCAACATACCACAAGTCTTTTACGACAGCATGTTACTGGTTCTGTTTTATTTATCCATTCAGCCATTCTATGGCTTTTGAATAAAGAGTTTAATGCTGGGGCACCTGGGTGGCTCAGTCGGTTGAGCGTCTGACTCTTGGTTTTGGCTTAGATCTTGACCTCAGGGTCAGGAGATCAAGCCCCATGTCTGGCTCTGCGTTCAGCAGAGAGTCTGCAGAGATTCTCTCTCTCTTCTCCCTCTACCCTTGCCCTGCTCACATGCCTGTGCACTCTCTCTGGAAAAATCTTTTTTTTTTTTTTTTTTTTTTAAATGAGTTTATGGGCAGCCCCAGTGATAGCAGTTTAGCGCCACCTTCGGCCCAGGGTGTGATCCTGGGGACCCAGGGTCGAGTCCCATGTCAGGCTCCCTGCATGGAGCCTGCTTCTCCCTCTGTCTGTATCTCTGCCCCCTTCTCTCTCTCTCTCTCTCACTCTCATGAATAAATTAATAAAATCTTTTAGAAAATAAAATAAAATTTAATTCTTAACATTTCAATAATTATTGATGGATGAGGACTTAGTATTGCCATTTTGGTTGTTTTGTTTTGCTGTTGTGTTCTTCTCTTTGTCTTTTGCTGTCTTTATTATTTGGTCATTTTTTTGGTAGTAATTTGCTTTCATCTTTTGTGTCTCTATTCTGGATTTTTTTTCTGCATTGGTACCATGAGAGTGTTCTCAATGGCATCTAGAATGGTGGACCCTTCCCCAAAGTTTTCAGTTTACTTAGCCTGTATCTATCAGAGGAATCAGTATGGCAGCTGTAGCCTTACAAAATATATTTATTTTTATTTTTAGGTTTTTTAAAGTAATCTCTAGACCCAACATGGGGCCTGAACTCACAACCCTGAGATCAAGTCACATGTCTTCCAATTGAGCCAGCCAGGCACCTCCAAAATTTGTTTCTTAAATGATAAGACCTGAAAGTCATACTTATTCCTTGATCCATGCACTACAGAACAGATGTGTTAGCAGTCAGGAAAACATTAATGCCATTGTACAACTCCCATCAGAATGTGTCTCCAAGTGCATTGTCAGCGGTGATATTTTGAAAGGAATCTTTTTTTCCCCCTTGAGCAGTAGGTCTCAACAGTGGGTTTAAAATATGCAGTAAACCATGTTGTAAACAGGTGTGCTGTCATCCAGGCTCCATTTGTCGAGTATACTTAGCGTAATTCCTAAGGGCGCTAGGATTTTTGGAATGGTAAATGAGCTTAGATTTCTACTTCAAGTCATCAGCTGCATGAGCTCCTAATAAGGTAGTCATCCCCTCCTTTGAAGACTGCCATTGACTTCTCTTGTGTAGCCATGAAGTCCCAAATGACATCTTTCTTTCAATATGTTTTTGTCTCTGTTGAAAATTTGTTGTGGGGCTTCTGGGTGGCTCAGTCTGCTAAGCATCCTCCTCTTGCTTTCTGCTCAGGCCATGGTCTCAGGGCTGTGAGATTGGGCCTTGTG